AAAAAAAAAAAAAAAAAAAAAGGGAGAAACGCGCAATATTGTTTCTCCTCAGGTGCCGGTCTGAGGCACCTGCTCACGGGTCTTGCTGCCCTGTTTCCCTAGTATTGTGGTCCCTGTCCCCTTAAGGCTTCCAAAAAGCACTCGCCAAAAAAAAGGGGAAAAACGCGCGATATTCTTTGTCCTCAGGCGCCAGTCTCAGGCAGCTGCTCACCGGTCTTGCTGCCCTGTTTCCCTGGTATTGGGGTCCCTGTCCCTTTAGGGCTTCCAAAAAGCACTCGCCCAAGAAAAAGGAAAAATGCGCGATTTTCTTTGTCCTCAGGCGCCCGCTCACCGGTCTTACTGCCGTGTTTCCCTGGTATTGGGGCCCCTGTCCCTTTAAGGCTTCCAAAAAGCACTCGCCAAAAAAAAAGAAGGGAAAAACGCTCGATTTGCTTTGTCCTTAGGCGCCAGTCTCAGGCACCCACTCACCGGTCTTACTGCAGTATTTCCTTGGTATTGGGGTCCCTGTGCCTTTAAGGCTTCCAAAAAGCACTCGCCAAAACAGAAAAAAAAATTGCTCTGGTTTCTTTCCACCCGCCGGGAACCGGCGGGAGGGGTGCTCGGGTCCCGCCGGGCCGGGGCTTGTATCTTATCCCCTTCGCGAGGTGCTGGGTTCTCGCAGGTGTGGATGTGGTCTGGATGTTGTCCTGTGTCCTCTGGTCTCTATTTTAGGAAGGGTTGTCTTTGTTATATTTTCATAATTCCATGTGGTTTTGGGAGGAGAGTTCCGCTGCTCTACTCATGCCTCCATCCTGGCTCCGCCCCCCCATTCTGTCTTTTTAACTTTTGCTCTTTAATTCATGGTGAACAAGGAGGGCACATGACATAATTGGTTCTTTGAAGTTCCAAGTTTTGCTAGTAGTAATTCAGCCCTTCCAGGATGCCACAGCTGATTCTTTTTTCTTTTCATTCCTTTCTGCTTCCTCATTTTTTGCTTTGAAAAGGTGGGTTATAACAGACTGTTTTATTTTATCCTAATTATAGTAGATAAATCATCAGTGTTTTCAGAATGAATAAATTGACAATACCAAATTGTGTTTTATCTGAACACATGGTGGCCTCTGCTATTTAAAAAACATTAATGGGGGTAGTGGGTAGAATAGGTAGGGCTGTAGGACCCATTTATGTCATTTGGTCAAACCAGGTTACTGACATGCTTATTTGCAATGCATTAGTCTAGATAGGAGTATTTTCAAGAATTTAGTAGGTCTTTAATTTTTTAGAAGTTACTGACATTGTCAAATATTCTTATAGCAGAAATAAGAAAGATAAAAAGAGAGAAAAAGAAAGGGACCACATCAGTGAAAGAAAAGAGAGGGAATTCCGTTCAGCCTCTACAAGGAAGAGTTCTAATGATAGAGATGGGAAGGAAAAGTTGGAGAAGAACAATACTTCACTGAAGGTAAGCCACAGTCATTCCATTTTTTGACTTTGAATAATAAATAATTGAGACTGTTCTTTATTGCACAGAAGTAGTTTTAGACTTTTTAAAAGTTCTTTGAGGGTAACGGTGTCTTATACATTTTTGGAATTCTTTCTGTTTATTAAATGTATAGTTTTTTAAACTAAATTTTTGAAGGGATGAGAGCTAGTTAAAATTTAAGCAGTTGCATTCTTTATTTTAGAGAATAAAGGAGTGGCATACAATAAGAATTGTTAGACCATTTATGGGTAACAGATATATCTGAATTTATACCAAAATTTCTACTAGATGGCATTTTCCTCAGTATATTTTAGCAACTTTAATAGATGCTGTTACTTGGTTTTTGTAGTACATATACTAGGTTTGTTAAATTAGTATAATTAATAGAAAACCAAATTCCACAACAAATATTTTAAGTACTTGTGAATTAATGTTAATTTCCTCATTATACCTGTAACTGTATTTATATTTGGGTATCAATTATGAGTTCTGGAGCTTTCATCTTAAATATTTATTCGCTTGCTGATAGAGGGTTATCGTCCTTGAAACAGTAATAACATCTCTTGAGTATTTACTGTGTGTTAGGCACTGTCCACATGTTCTCATTTAATTCTCCCTCAAGCTGAGGTCAGACTTTGGACTGAACAGTCTTTGTTAGGAGGAAGAGTGACTTCTCTTTCATATTCCCTTATTTTTGCTTCTTTGGTACCCAAGATTACAAATCCATCTTGGCATCTTTGGGAACCATTTTACTCTTTCGGCAGATCTGCCCACTTTATCAAGTCAGTCAGCAACATTTATTGAACGCTTTCTCAGAATTTCTGTTCATCTGTTTTATTCAAATTTAATTTCCATGGCTTGTCCATTGTTTATAAGAAGTACTCTCCTAGGTTTTCTGGACTCCATTTCCAGTGTGGGGATTTCCCCCAATCACACATACACAAACACCAAGCAGTTCTCAGACATGGTCAGGGTATCCAGGAATTTAACTCAATTTTGCCACTATCTGCCTGGACATAACATCAGATTTCACAGGTGAAGGGTTCAGTTCTGCAAGACAGACTCCCCCATCCCCTACTTCAGATGCCAGTGGCAAGCTCCAGGCTGTTACCTGTACATTTGGTCACCTGGCTACACATTAGAGGGTCCAGCAACCTCCTTCTTCTCAGGTTTGAGCTCACAGAACTCAGGGAAATATGTTTACCAGTTTATTAAAGGATATGATAAAGGATATGAATCAAAAGCTAGGTGAATAAATAAATAAATAGGATGAAGTCCCCAGTAAAGTTTTGTGTGGAACTTGGGACTCAGCTTCTTGGTATGTGGAAGCATTCAGGTTCCCCAAGCATAGATTCTCTCTGGGAAAGGGAAAAGGCCAAAACACTGTTTTCTTGGGATTTTATGAAGGCTTTATTGCATAGTCATGATTGACTAAGTCATTGGCCACTGGCTGATTCAACCTCCAACCCCTCTCCCTTCCCCGGAGGCTGGGGGCTCAGGGGGAAGGAAGATAGGGTGGACTGAGGGCTCCTACCCTCTAATCACTTGGTCCTCCTGGCAACGAGCCCCTACCCTTGTGTTGGGTCCAAAAGTCACTTTCATCATTAACAGGATACCATTCCCATCTTTATGGCTCTGAAGCCTTTTCAGTGGCTGTGGTTGAAGACCAAATATATCTGAGAAATATATTTTGGTTCATCTGAATGATGAAATACATATTTCTTATAAATCATTATATCACAAGTACAAAGGATATATTGATATGTTTTCATATTGTATTTAGGTGAAAATTAGTGAAAGATAATATCGTTACATTCACAAAAGATAAATATTTTAGCCATAACAGATGCAATAGTAGGCAACTCTTGAGAAAGGTATTAAGCGCATACTATAATATCATTGTAGGAAAAGGAGCACAACAAAGAACCAGATTCAAATGTGGGCAAAGAAGTAGATGACAAGGATGCACCAAGGACCGAGGAAAACAAAGTACAGCAAAACGGGAGTTGTCAGCCAAATGAAGACCTGTCTACCAGAACAGCAGCAGTATAGGACCTGACAAACACACCTCCTAAACACATGCTGGAATAAAATCCAAAGCTTTTAATTCTCTCAACAAGATGTTAAACAGGAAAAATCCAGTTGAGTATAAAGATAAGAGCTAACAGCTTTTCTAGTTGTTAGGTGACTTTGTGGCCATCTTGTTTACTGAGTAAGAAAATAAGGCATGGAAATAAGGCGTGAAAATGACAGATGTTAACCCAAACTCCTCATCTTTTAGAACTTGCATTTCCACGGTGGCTGACACACTTGTCATGTGGTTTGTTAGTCTTTGCCAAGAACCGTTACAAATAAATGGGGCATCAAAGTCCAAATTTGAACTGTCCAGACTGGAGATAAGCATTGGAGGCTCTTAAAAAAAAAATTCTAGTTAATGAATTTTGTATTGTTTTACTTTTTTTTAAATTTCAATATATAGATGGATGATGTGCTTGAAATCGGTGCAAATATATATACACCCTTGTAAGTGCAGAGTATGTAAGAAATTTTAACATTTACTTCACAGGTTTTACAGTGATTGTGTTAAGTTCTCACTATTGTGGTTTTTTTTGTTTTGTTTAGGACAACAGTTTTTCTTTAAAATAGTTTTACAGATTAAAATTGCTTAAATAAGTGGATTAAAAACAACTGACAATGCATGCTACCATTCTCTTTCAAAAGGAAGAGCAACTGTGTTGAATACTAATAATGTATTAGTATTCAGTGTGTAGAATCATTGGGTCTCCCCACAAAGTAAGCATTTCTTCTTTAACTTTATATTTCCTAGTTTATTATGAATAATATTGCAGTGTGTGTTGTCAGCTGTAGATGGCAAATGTGCCATTTTAAAAAGAAAATTGGGTTTTCAAAATGGGCTATGGGAGCACAAGCTGAAGCTTTAGTGCCTTCTACAATGTGGTATATACTGTTTTCTAGAATTTTATATGTGCCAGTCATTCTCAATTCATTCAGAATTTAGGTGGATATTCTTTTCACTCCCATAGAGACGTGTGCAAGCAGTATGTCAGAAGAGCTTACATAGTTCACCTAATATGAGAAGGGAACTCCTGTTTTCAAGAATGACTTTAGAGCTTAAACAACAATGCAGTTTTGGGACCATCAGTTCTATACTGTGATAACTGAAAATGAAGCATGTTCTTATTTTACTTAAAGCCAACTCCTTAGTTGTCTACATTGGGTGGCCTTAATTATTACCTCTCAATCATTGTCTCGTAAATGATGTGCAAAGGAGATCATGTAAAGGAGAATACATCAAGTTATTTGTTTTTTATCTTTAAGGATATGTTTGAGTTTAAAATACAGGTCATCCGTAATTTATAGGCTCACTTTTTGCAGAAAGTATGCAAGTAGTAAAATGACAATATTGCTAATATTTTTCCCCAAAGCCATAACTCAATTGTTTTCAGAATCCTTTTCATTATTGTTACATTTCCAAGAAAGTTATACTATTTAATTAGCATGTTATTTAAAAATCAAGTATAATTACTTTAATACAATCTAATACAATCAAATTACTCAGTTGCCTTACCTCATGGGAAGAGTTACTTATAGATTTAAAAACTGAGTAGCACATCAGTTACTTGGTTTCAACTTGAGTTTTCTTTTAATGTTAATACTATTGAAGCTGAAGTGTTCAGTGAAGCATACAAAGAATTGCCCCTATTTCAAGTAATGAAACCTGGTTTGTTCACAAAGCTGCTTATTTACTCTTCATGTGTTCAGAATTAGTGTGGTTTTTTTTCCTCCCCTTTTTGTCACTATGTACATTAAAATTTTTGAAAATGCTTTACTATGTAAAGTATAGATGGTCATTTTAATCACTCAACCACATACGGTTGGCTGGTAAACAGCTTATTCTGATAGAAGAGTGGGTGCATATGAAAGATTGTGAAGGAGTGGGTGTCCTGCATCAACACCTGTCTTATTTATGAAATGTAAGTAGACTAGAGCAAATGTTGGAATCTTTGCTATTTTCAGTACAATTTATCTCTAATAAAGCTAAGTGTTTTAGAGGAAAGTATTGTGCATTGCAAAACAGCATCTTAGTTTCATCCTGTTTTTGTTTTAGTTGGCATAGAAATTGTTTTGATATGGAGAGTGAGTGTGTGGTGTCTATGAAAAAAATCATTTAAAGCTTGAATGTTTCTTATATTCTGGAATCTTTTAATAATGGTTTTTAATGTTGGTAATTAACATATTTAATTTAGTCCTGCTGCTAATTACTTTTCTTCCTGGTGATATTTATTTGGCTTTAAAAATCATACTAATCTTGAGACACACTGATTTGTAAAAAGTTGGGCATGAGTAGTAATACAAGAGATCTGGAGGAAGTAAAATATTTTCTTAAATGGGCTCATGAAAATAAAGATTTCTAGGGTTGTAGAGGTATTGGGGGGTATGTGTATGAAAAATACATATTTTCTCTTTACTTGAGCTGATGATGTTACCATTTGCTTACTATTTTCTTTCAAGGTATTTTGTTTTTTCTTTAAGACCATTCTTTTTCATCCCAGTTAGATGTCAGGAAAACTTGAGGTAAGGCCAAGAAGACAGCTGTTTTACACTTGGTACCGTCTGTAATTATCTTTTTTAGCTTGATTATATAGAGAGTACACTCTGTTCCTTAAATTGTAGTTGCTATTCATCATTCTAGACAAATTCTGTTGTTCCTTTTGTTCTTGCTTGTATAAGATGGTCCTTCATAAACTAACCAGTTTTCAAGAGAGAAAACAAATACAAATCCTTAACTTCTGCAACTGTCTCCTTAGTTATTATTTTCTGTCTAATTTTAAACACTAGGCAGTCAGCTTATGATTTTTTTTGTTTTAGAGTTCTTTTTTCAAGAGGTTCAGTATATATATGCTATTTTGATTTGCAGAAGTGTCAGAGACTTAAAGTTTGACATGCTCAATTAAAAATAACTGGCGTTTAGAATGAATTTTCTTTTATCAAGAAAATAATTTCTTTTGTGGTATTAGTCATTTTCAGGGCCCTCATTCGTTCCTGTGTATATCTTACTATCTTTATCTTAAAATTAGAAAAAAAGAACCTTTATTCAAATCTGCTCTCAACTGAAGATGATATTCAAACTTAAGGATTGAAATATATTGTAGTAGGCTTTTAAAAGTTTTTTAAAAACCAATTACAAATAATATTAGATTTAAATATTTCTGTAGTTGAATTAGCAATTCAAATGAATCCTTTTGGAGGGATGCATTGAATAACTTTAGCATACTATATTTTCATTAAGCTAGTATTTGATTTTATCTAGGTGGGTTATGAAGTAGAGCCATTTCCACCAAGAAATTATGTTCCTTATGTGTTTAAATATTTAAAACTTTCACTGCCTACATAGTATTTTCTTGTGTTTATTTACTAATGTAATATTCATTTAAAAGTGTTTATTTTCAGATTTCAAAAGTTAGTGCTCTTAAAAGGCTGAATTATATTTCTGAAAGCAGGAGTTAAGAATAATGTAATAAAATAATCTTTTAAAGTAAAATTGACTTTCTTATTTAATTTTGGGTTTGTGGGTGAATTTTTCTTTTTAAATATCCTTATATTGGTGATTCTGCCTCAAGATTGATACATTATTTTAAAAAGAAAACTAAATCTATTAGTGATTTTTGATCCCTAATTCAGTTTGGTTGGATTAAGTGACTAAATAACTGGATTTCTATCCATTCCATTTCAAGATAGTTTTATAATTTCTAGCAGTTACTTTATTACAATTGTTAGTTTAACCATAACATTTCCTAATACATTGTTTTTAAAAGTAGGTTTTTATTGTGTTGTCTAACCTCCAAATTTGTAACTAGCTAACCTTTTAATTTTGAACATTGCCTGCTTTTAAGAAACAACATATTTTGCTGCTAAAATTTATTTTCCCAGGATTGGAATGGACTAATAGTTCCCTCCATTCTTGATTAATTTCTTTTTGCTAAATAAATAATTTCTGAACTATATATTATATAAGTAAGTTCAAATTCATGAAAAATACTGAAAATTCAGTTGAGATTGAGTTCTACAAGTTTTAGGTTACTAGTAGGTAAAAAATGATTGGGGAACAATCTACAGAATCCCATGATTTCCACAGATGATTACGTTTGGGTATACTATGTAGTTGTATAGGTAGTTCAGTTTAAGATTTAAGTGTTACTCTGCTTAATCTCAATAGATGAGTACAGTAGTGTTCTTTACATAATGCTATGGATTATCAAGGGAAGAGTTTAAAATGTAAACATGCTGCATAAGTGGTGTATATTTATATATTTATATGAGTAGGGCTACTTTTATTTCTCAAATGATACTGCTATTGTGTTGCTATACTTTTAATAAAATAAAAATCCTAAACTCTTGCCACTGTTGCATAGTAATTTTACCTATTTCTGAGACATTTTTTATTTGCATATTTACAGGTTATTTTGTAACTGGAAGGTGGTATAATGCTCTTACAGGGTTTGAGCCTACCAAAATAGAGTTCTTTGAACATTTCTTTATGTTGTATGTCAGTAACTCTAGTCAAGGCTTTGCATCTTGAACATTTTGTAGTGTTCTAGTAAGTGATACCTGCTTTTTGAATCTCCCTTTTGGTGACAGAATCAACTTCTTACTAGGGTGTTTTGTGCAATAAAAATTGTCACTGCTTGTTTTCTAACAGCAAGTGGATTCGATTGCCTTGTGTTCATCAGAAGTGTAGCCTCCATTTGGCTAATGAGCTGTGTGCTCAGGGTGGTCATTTAAGTGATACTGTATTAGTTTAAAGTGCTTCTTCAAAAGAATTAATTAGCTAATGGATGTGTTGATTTAGAATCCTATATGAACTCATGGCTTAGTTGGTCCAGATATGAGGCTATACATAGTGATTTCTTCAGCCTTGTTGTTTTAGCTGCCTTCTGTGGTTAAAGGCTACGAGCCATATGGTTTCCTGGTGAACTACATGTATGGGGTCGGGTGGGAGTGAAAGAAGAAAGGTCCTTTAAGTACACCCCTTGCCAGTAGTGAGTTTGGGCTTCTCCAGGTGTGACTTCCACAGGACTAACTTAGAGGAATGCCAGGTTGAAGTAGGAGGCACATTTGATAGCAGACTTAGAAAATGTCTCCTAAATAGTTTTTTTTTTTGTGTGTGTGTGTGTGTGTGTTACTATTAAATAGTAGTTATTTGAGTATTATTACAGCATATTAGTTTTTATAATTATTTTATTTTGGAAAAATATCCTAAGATTTAACTGAAAAGAAGAATACAGTTGATCCTTGAGCAGTATGGATGTTAGGGGTGCCAACCCCCTGCACGGTTGAAAACCATATGTAACATTTGGTTCCCCCAAAACCTAACTGCTGATAGCTTACTGTTGACTAGAATACTAATAACAAACAGTTGGCTAACATGGTTTGTATTATCCACTTCTCTCCACTTTATCATCTCCAATTACATACTGTATTCTTACAATATGGTAAGCTCAAGAAAAGAAAATGTCTTTTCAAATAACTTCAAATCTCCAAAATATTCTCCAATATATTTATTGAAAAAAATATACATTTAAGTGGACGATGTAGTTCACACCTGTGTTGTTCAAGGGTCAACTGTACTTAAGTCTCTTTAAGAAGTGTGCTACTCTGTTGAATGTCGTAATAGCCTTGGTCTTATTTTTTTTAAAAAAACTAGTCTGACAACTTCAGCTTTAGTTGCTGTGCTTAGACCAGTTATATTGAATGTGATTGTTGATGTCTTTGGGCTTAAATCTACCATCTTGTTATTGTCCTCTGTCTCCTCTGTTTTTGTCCCCCTTTTTAAATCTGCCTTCTTTTTTTTTAAAATTTTGGTATCATTAATCTACAATTACAACATGAAGAACAGTATGTTTACTAGGCTCCCCCCTTCACCAAGTCCCCACCCACAAACCACATTACAATCACTGTCCATCAGCGTAGTAAGATGCTGTAGAAAACACTACTTGTCTTCTCTGTGTTGCATAGCCTTCCCCATGCCCTCCCCTGCCACATTATACATGCTAATTGTAATTCCCCTTTCTTTTTCCCTGCCCTTATCCCTCACTTCCCACCCATCCTCCCCAGCCCCTTTCCCTTTGGTAACTGTTAGTCCATTCTTGGGTTCTGTGGTCCTGCTGCTGTTTTGTTCCTTCAGTTTTTCCTTTGTTCTTATATTCCACATATGAGTGAAATTATTTGGTACTTGTCTTACTTCGCCTGGATTATTTCACTAAGCATAATACCCTGTAGCTCCATACATGTTGTTGCAAATGGTAGGATTTGTTTTTTTCTTGTGTATATGTACCACATCTTCTTTATCCATTCATCTACTGATGGACACTTAGGTTGCTTCCATTTCTTGGCTATTGTAAATAGTGCTGTGATAAACATAGGGGTGCATCTGTCTTTTTCAAACTGGGCTGCTGCATTCTTAGGGTAAATTCCTAGAAGTGGAATTCCTGGGTGAAATGGTATTTCTGTTTTGAGCTCTTTGAGGAACCTCCATATTGCTTTCCACAGTAGTTGAACTAATTTACATTCCCACCAGCAGTGTAGGAGGGTTCCACTTTCTCCACAACCTTGCCAACATTAGTTGTTGTTTGTCTTTTGGATGGTGGTGATCCTTACTGGTGTGAGGTGATACCTCATTGTGGTTTGAATTTGCATTTCTCTTATGACTAGTGATGTGGAGCATCTTTTCATGTGTCTGTTGGCCATCTGAATTTCTTCTTTGGAGAACTGTCTGTTCAGCTCCTCTGCCCATTTTTTAATTGGATTATTTGCTTTTTGTTTGTTGAGGTGCGTGAGCTCTTTATATATTTTGGACGTCAACCCTTTACTGGATCTGTCATTTATGAATATATTCTCCCATACTGTAGGATACCTTTTTGTTCTGATGGTGTCCTTTGCTGTACAGGTTGATATAGTCCCACTTGTTCATTTTTGTTTTTGTTTCCCTTGCCCAGAAAGATATGTTCATGAAGAAGTCGCTCATGTTTATGTCCAAGAGATTTTTGCCTATGTTTTTTTCTAAGAGTTTTATGGTTTCATGACTTACATTCAGGTCTTTGATCCATTTCGAATTTACTTTTGTGCATGGGATTAGACAGTGATCCAGTTTCATTCTCTTACATGTAGCTGTCCAGTTCTGCCAGCACCATCTGTTGAAGAGACTGCCATTTCCCCATTGTATGTCCATGGCTCCTTTATCGTATATTAGTTGACCATATATGTTTGGGTTAATGTTTGGAGTCTCTATTCTGTTCCATTGGTCTGTGGCTCTGTTCTTGTGCCAGTACCAAATTGTCTTGATTACTGTGGCTTTGTAGTAAAGCTTGAAGTTGGGGAGTGAGATCCCCCCCCCGCCCACTTTATTCTTCCTTCTCAGGATTGCTTTAGCTATTCGGGGTCTTCGGTGTTTCCATATGAATTTTTGAACTATTTGTTCCAGTTCATTGAAGAATGCTGTTGGTAATTTGATAGGGATTGCACCGTCTCTGTATATTGCTTTGGGTAGGATGGCCATTTTGACAATATTAATTCTTCCTAGCCAGGAGCATGGGATGAGTTTCCATTTGTTAGTGACCTCTTAATTTCTCTTAAGAGTGTCATAGTTTTTAGCGTATAGGTCTTTCAGTTCCTTGGTTAGGTTTATTCCTAGGTATTTTATTCTTTTGGTGCAATTGTGAATGGAATTGTTTTCCTGGTTAATCTGCCTTCTTTTGCACTAATTCAATACTTTTTATCATTCCATTTCACCATCTTTGTTTGTTTTACTAGCTATAAGTCTTTTTTAATTTTTAAGTGGTTTTAAGGTTTATTATGTATTTTGATCTATTAACAATCTACTTTTAAGTAATATATCACTTCATGTATATGACTCTTACAATAATATTCTTTCATTATCCCTCTCCCAGTTTTGTGCTATTTTGTCACGCATGTCACTGCATTTACATAATCAGTATATTAAAATCCCCACATTATCTTATTTTTTCATAAACAGTTAATTTAAAGAGATTTTAAAGGAGTAGAAAAAGGTGTCACATTAATCTACAGATTCACAATGTATGGTGCTCTTCATTCCTTTGTATAGATTAAGATTTTTACTTGGGACTATTTTCTTTCTTCTTGGAGACACATTTTAACATTTTTTAATAGTTAAGGTCTGCAGGTGATGAATTCTTTCACCTTTTGCATCCTGAATATTTTAATTTCAATATAGTATTTTAAAGATATTTTTTGCTGGATATAGACTTCTACAGTGCCTTTTTTTTCAGCACTTTGGAAGTGTGTCTCCACTGTCTTGGTTTACTTTGTTTCCAAGGAGATACCTGCTGTCATTCTTACCATTGTATCTCTATACAGCCTGTAGCCTTTTTCTTCTGGTCACTTCTAAGATTTACTCTTCTTTTCATTGATTTTAATCAGTTTGACTGTGATGTCTCTTGGTGTTTCATTCATGCTTCATGTCCTTGTGGTTCCTGGAGCTTCTTGGGTCTGCGTGTT